ATGATAATGACGATGATGGCGATGACGATGATGATGAAGATGATAATGATGATGAGGATGAGGATGATGATGATGGTCATGCTGATGATGATGCTGATGCTGAGCATGGTGATGATCTTGATGTTGGCGACGACGATGATGACGATGATTGCGACGACGATGATGCTGATGATGATGACGATGACGATGACGATGATGGTGAGGGTAAGGATGATTATAGTGATGCTGATGCTGATGCTGATGGTGGTAGTGATGGCGATGATGCTTATGCTGATCATGACAGTGATCATGTTGATGACGAGGATGCAGATGGTGGTGCTCGAAATGATGATTGTGATTAGATTTGCGATGTTGATGATGATGATTATGATGATGATGATGATGATGATGATGGTGATGTTGGTGATGATGACAATGATGGTTTTGATGATGAGGTTGGTGCTGATGGTGTTGATTACGAATGTGATGATGATGCGCATGAGGATGGTAGCGATGGTGATGCTGATGGTGATGATGATGATGCTCATGATGACGAAGATGGCGATGATGATGTTTTGTTGTTGTTAATGACGGTTGTGATGATGATGTTGATGATTACGATGTTGATGAGGATGATAATGTTGATGATGCTGATGTTGATGATGATGATTATGATGATGATGATGAGTATGATGATCCTGATGTTCATGATGATCATGATGCTGTTGCTGATGATGATGTCGATGTTGGTGATGGTGACGGTGATGGTGATGGTGGTGATGATGATGATGATGATGATGATGATGATGATGATGGTGATGGTGATGATGATGATGGTGATGATGATGATGATGATGATGATGATGATGATGATGATGATGACGATGTTGATGGTGATGATGAAATTCGGTTGGGCCGTCTTGGGGTTATCGTGGCCTCCTGTGAGGCAGTCTTGGGGGTCCCTTTGGGCTCTCTTGGGCCGTCTCGGGACCCTCTTGACCGTACGGTGGATGTCGGGGGGCCGTCGTGGGGCCATCTTGGCGGCGTCTTCGGCCGTCGAAGAGCCTCCCAAATCCGGCTTGAGTCCAACGGGAGACTCTCTTAGGCCGTCTTGGGGCCGTCTTGATGCCTTTTGCGCCATCATTCAAAAACCTTCGTTCAGTTATTGCGAAAGGGCGAGATTGCGAAACTCATTCAAAAACTTAAGGAGATTAACGGGTTTAAAGCAAGGGATCGTGTCTTGGGAGGCCCGTGAGTGCTTGGGAGCAGCTCCTGGGAGTGCAGGAAGTGCACAATCCTCGAGCGGGTGAACGTGGGATGAGGACTCTAGAAGGTAGCAGCCATCCAGAATGTGCGCAGTCATCGAGCGGGCGCGCATGGGATGAGGGTCCAGGCATCAGCTGCCATGCCAGAGGTGCACCATCCTCGATTGGGCACGCGTGAAGGGGGGGTCAGGCATTAGCTGCCATGTGGGTAGTACACCATCCTCTTGCGGGCACGCGTGGAAGTGGGGTTCAGGCATAAGATGCCATGGCAGAAGTGCACCATCCTCGAGCGGGTTCACGCGAAATGGTGGTTCAGGCATTAATAGCTGCCATGCGGGAAGTGCGCCATCTTTGAGCTGGCACGCGTGGAAGGGGGGTTCCGGCTCCAGCTGCCATGGCAGAAGTGCACCACCCTCGAGCGGGCACGCGCGGAACGGTGGTTCAGGCATCAGCTGCCATGCGGAAAGGGCACCATCCTCGAGCGGGCACGCGTGGAATGGGGAGTTCAGGCATCAGCTGCCATGGCAGAAGGGCACCATCCTCGAGCGGGCACGCGAAGAAGGGGGTTTAAGGCATTGGCTGCCACGCGGGAAGGGCACCATCTTCGAGAGGGCACGAGGGAAGCGGCCTCGGTGAGCGGGGGGGATGCACGCGACAGTCCGCGGGTCAGGGGGGCTCCTGATTGGAATTCAAGAAACCATACCAGGCAGACCTTGGCATTCCTCCACGCTTCAACGTGTCCCGCTCATGCAGCTAATGTTGACAGCGTTGATCCCTTTTTGCGCAAATTGATGACCTATGGAAGGGGTTCCTGCGTTGTCTATTCCTGCATTGTGGTTGTCTAGCCTCCTCTATGCCTCTTAGTATGCCGTGTGGCTGTGCGGCACGATGCGCAACAAAGCCGAGGAAACAGCACACATAGCCAACTCATGGGTGCGGCCGGGAATCAGTCACTTCTAAGATTTTGCGCCGCTGTACAGGCTTCTTATTCGTCTGGTTCCCCATGGGTTGGAGCATGAGCTGCAAACTGGCAATACATCTGAAGTGTTTCGCCCTCTGGCGCAAGCTTCCCCTCTCTCCTTTCCTGAACTGCTGGGTCGATTGGGTGGTTTGGTTGCTGCTGGACGGGTTGGTTGGCAGGCAGGCAGATCGGCTGTTTGGCTAGCTGTCTGGATGAACGGTTGGCAGGCTGGCGGGCTAGTTGGTTGGCAGAAAAGAGGGCTGGTTGGCTCGCTAGCCGGCTGGTTGGATAGCTGGCTCGTTGGCTGGCGGGTTCGGAGCGCAAATCCATAGCGTTTCCAACAAGGCCCTCAGACGCGGACCCACTGCCTGACTCGTGTTACCAAGGATCGTGGCCTCGACGGCACGGATCCGGTGTTTTGTCCATGGGATCCGGGCCTCGAAGGTTCGGACCGATTATCTTTTACAAGGGTTGTGCCCTAGAAGTCGATGAGGCATAGTTCTGTTTTCGAGGGATCTCGGGGGTTGCGATCGGCGAAACTGTTGACCCTTTCGAGGGCTGCTGGGGGGGGGTTCAGCGGACTGAAGTCCCACGCGGATCTAAATTAGACCTCGCCATCCCTGCAGGGCAGCAACCTGCGAAGTTGTCGCCGCTTTAGAGGGGTGTTGGGGGCTCCAGCGGAGCGACGCCCCAGACCGAAACATTTGACCTTGCCATCCCTGTGGCAGGGGGGGGAAGAGGTCGATTTGCGAAGTCGCCGCCGGTTTCTAAGGCTGCTGGGGGGTCCAGCGGGGTGACGTCCCACGCGGGCTTGATTCAATTGCTAAGGCCTTACGGCCAGTGCCGCCGACCCTAGATACCTCGGCCCTCAGGGTGACGGGATGCGTGATAAGACGTCGGAGGTACATGAAGACGTGGCGGAGGAGGAGGCGGAGGAGGAGGAGAAAGGGGAGGAGGAGGAGGAGGAGGAGGAGGAGGAGGAGGAGGAGGACCTGACTCAATCTCGCCGTCCCCGGGGGGGGGGGCTGCGATGTGCGAACGCGTCGCCTCTGCCAAGAGGCTGCTGGGGGGTCCCGCGGGGCGACGCCCCACGCGGGCCCCGAGGGCCTGGCGGCGCGCCTGCGGGCGGTCAGCTCCCGCGCTGCACGGCGCAGGAAGGAAGCAGCGATCGAAGAGCCGGGGCTCGCGAGGCCGGGCTCGGCGGGGGAGAGAGATGCCCGAGGGCACGGAGGACCTCGACCTGCGCAGGAAGCCGGAGGAGGTTTGAGCGCTGGCGGGAGGTGCCAGCCCAAGTAGTGCAGGAAGACGCGGAGATGGAGGAGGAGGAGGAGGAGGAGGAGGAGGAGGAGGAGGAGGAGGAGGAGGAGGAGGAGGGGGAGGAGGAGGAGGAGGAGGAGGAGGAGGAGGAGGAGGAGGAGAGAGGAGGAGGAGGAGGAGGAGGAGGAGGAGGAGGAGGAGGAGGAGGAGGAGGAGGAGGAGGAGGAGGGAGAGCAGGAGCAGGAGCAGGAGGAGGAGGAGGAGGAGGAGGGAGAGCCGCGCGCTCGTGGAGGAGATCGGCGGCAGCACCTCCGAGCGGGCGGCCTGCGCGGCTGGGCGCGCGCAGCCACCCGGGCGGCTGAGGTCGGCCTCGCTCGCTGCGCTCCCCGCATGGCCTGCGCAGCCCAGTGGCCGACCCCGCGCTGTCGTGTGCCAGGCGGTTCGCCATGGGTCGCGCAAGCTATGCGGGGACGCGAAAACGACCGCATTCTGGAGCAGCTCCTCTTGTTGTAGCAGCTCCTGGAGCATCTCCTGCGTCCCGTCCCGTGTTCAGGAGCAGCTCCTCTTGTTGTAGCAGCTTCTGGAGCATCTCCTGCGTCCCGTCCCGTTTTCTGGAGCAGCTCCTCTTGCTGTAGGAGCTTCTGGAACACCTCCCGTCCCGCGTTCTGGAGCAGCTCCTCTTGTACGGGACGTGAAAACGACCACAGCCACTGCTTTTCTTATGTTGCCGCCTTCCAGCCAGCAGAAGCAGAGCAGTGGTTGTGGTCATGTTCGTTGAGCGTTGAGCTTGGCACCCGGGAAATGACCACAACCACTGCTTCTTTTTCGGCCGGCTGGAAGGCGGCGCAAACAAGAAGCAGTGGCTGTGGTCATTTTCCCGTCCCGCATCTTGTCACTTAGTGCACATGGGGTTGGGTACGTTGCCGTGTATTGTTGTCCGATGGGTCGTGGCATCGAAGGCTTAGATTTGGTTTCTCACGTTCGCCTGGGGCCGCTGCTTAGGATGTGCTGGCACAGATTCGTTCGCAGGGGATCGTGACCTCGAAGCTGCTGTTCCGTAGTTTTGTACATGGGCCAGCCCGAAGTTTGTGTAATATCGTTCTGCGTGGCACCACCAGCCAAGCCAGAAACGATGCGCAGGCGAGTTGTCTTGATCATGGATGTGGAGGAGCACGCAGTGGGACACATGTTTTGGAAAAGTCGTCACACTCCAAGCGAGGGAGGATGGAGGGGGAATCGGGTGAGCAGGAGGAGGAGGAGGAAGATGAGGAGGAGGGGGAAGAGGAGGAGGAAGAAGAGGAGGGGGAGGGGGAATGGGAGGTGGCGGACGGAGGAGGAAGACGAGGAAGAGGAATTTGAGAAGGAGGAGGCGGAGGAGGAGGAGGAGGATGAGGAAGAGGAGGAACAGGAGGAGGATGACGAGGAGGAGGCGGACGAGGAACAGGAGGGGGAGGAGGAAGAGAAGGACGACGAGAACGAGGAACATGTTGTTGTTGTTGATGATTGTGATGCTGATTATGATGATGATGCTGATGCTGATGATGATGTTGATGGTGATGATGGTTCTGATGGCAATGGTGATGGTGATGTTGACGATGATGATGTTGATGTCCATGTTGATGACGATGATGATGCTGCTGATGATGATGATGCTGATGATGGTGATGATGATGGTGATGATGATGCTTATGCTGAGATTGATGATGATGCTGATGATGATGATGCTGATGATGATGATGCTGATGATGATGATGATGATGATGATGATGCTGATGATGATGATGATGATGCTGATGCTGATGCTGATGCTGATGATGCTGATGCTGATGCTGATGCTGATGCTGATGCTGATGCTGATGCTGATGCTGATGCTGATGCTGATGCTGATGATGCTGAGGAGGGAAAGAAGAGGACGACGCGGAGGAGGAGGCGGAGGAGGAGGTGGATGAGGAGGAGGAAAAGGAGGAGGAAGCGGAGGAGGATGGCGAGCAGAAAGGCCAGGGGCCTCTTGCATGCCCCTCGGAGTCTTCTTGGGGCGTCTTGGGGACCTCTTGGCGATGCCAGGGGGCTCCTGGAGCGTCTTGGGAGCCTCTTGGGGGTCTCTTGGGAGCCTCCTGGACGCCTCTTGGGATATTCTTGGGGCACTTTCGCGAGCCTTGGGGGTCATCTTGGGGCCATGTTGGAAGAGATCGATCAGACAGGGTGGTCCTTGATTAGCCCCACTGCGGGAGGCCAGCATTGGTCAAAACCTGTTTGGATTATCAGCGATTTGCGTTTTCTCGCTGAGGCCTCCTTGGACGCTCCGACACCTCGCGGTCCCTCCCCTCCAGTCCCAAGTGAGGAGGATGGAGGGGGAGGCGTCAGATCCCCCCCCGAAGGAAAAAAAGCGGGCTGGAAGAGGAAATTCGCTAAACCACTCACGCCCTGGAGGGCCGATCAGGCTTGGTGTTGCCATCGTCGGCGCATTTGTTTCTCGAGGGCTCATGGTGTCGAAGGCGCGATTACCCGGTTTTTGTACAAGGGACCCTGGCTTCGAGTGTGCGGAGTGTCTGCTTTCTTGTTCCAAGGGATCGTGCCCTCGGCGCCGCGGACGCGCGTTCTTCGCTGCGGGGGGAGCTTGGCCTCGACGGCGCGGACCCAGCGTTTTCTTGGCATCGCTCGGACGTGTGCATTTTTTCTCGGCGAGGACCATCGAGGAGCATCCTTGATCATTTGGCGAAAAAACCACGCACGAAACCGGAAAAAGCACCGGGAATGGACGTCCGAGCGATGGCCAGTTTTTGCTGTTGACATTGGGTCGGGGCTCCGACGGCGCTGACACAGGCCCTTTCAAAGCACCAGACCCGTGGCCTCGAAGGCGCGGCTCCACAGTGCCCAGAACAGTGCTCGCAGCCAGGGTTGCTGTACGGATGGGTGGTATCCTCCTCCCTCCTCCTCCTCCTCCTCCTCCTCCTCCTCCTCCTCCTCCTCCTCCTCCTCCTCCCCCTCCTCCTCCTCCTCCTCCCCCTCCTCCTCCTCCTCCTCCTCCTCCTCCTCCTCCTCCTCCTCCTCCTCCTCCTCCTCAAAGCCGGTACCCCTTTAGGTTCTCCCTCAGGGCAATGGTCAGCTCTGGACAGCGTGCGCCTGTGATAGGGAAGCGGCGCCAGGCCTGATCCCAGATTGCTCAACATTTTTGGCGAGTCTGCAAATGAAGGTCTCCGAGCGCTCCGTCGCCAGACAGCATGATGAATGGCGCAATCAGCTGCCGATGTGCTGCACTGGGGTCTTTGCCAGAGTGGTTTATGGATGCCGGGGCCCCGAATAAGTCTGCAAGAAAGTCCCACGCGAGATCATCCTAAATATGTTTTCGATCGTGGGCCCAGAACATTGGAGCCCATTCAGCTCAATCAACTAGCGTGGGTTTACACACCGAGCAAACTGGGGGCAAAGATGGTAACGCGTTCAACGACGCCCTTTACGTCGTGCGCCAAACTATCCAATTTCTACAGACGCGCAAGTGTCTGGCGAGTGGAACTGCGAGAACACAGGTTCCCGTAAAATGGCGTTGTGGCAATCGCTGCTGAATCCATGGTGAGACGTCCAAGGACCGTTTGCCATCTGAGCGACGGAAAAATGGGTTCGTCTGCACCGGCATTGGCGCGTAAATTTCCCGCGTAAGGTCGCGCGTAAGCGCCCTCGTCTCCGATGTAGCGTGCCGCGCTGGCGGCTCGCGCAATAGCCACCGCGTAAGGTCGCTATGCCATCTCGCGCAAGCCCCGTTGTGGATCGTCGCTCATCTGGCTTTGCTGAGCTCCATGCGGGAGACATAGGGAAACAAAAAGTGACATAAACATAAAAACTCGGAGGTCCGTGCGGATTGCTCGGATCGGCGCTGGACCCCCCTCCCTGGCGCGCGGCGCCGGAGGCGCCGCGGGCCCAGCGCCGCCACGGGTGCGCTGCAGCTGCCTCGTGCGCTCCCTTGCTGTGGGGACCCCTCGAGCCACGCCCGGGGCGTGGAGACCCGGCGGGCGCAGGACAGCAAGCGTTATGGCGGGCGTGTCCCCCGACAGGGGGATTTTCAACGAAGGATAAAGAATACCCTACAAATGCCCCAGAAAGGTCAACAAATACTAAAAAATAGTCCCCAGGCTATTTTTGGATTATTTTTTGATTATTTGTGATGTATTTGTTGTTTTCGTCGAAAATCCCCCTGTAGGGGGACAAGCGCCCGGCGCGGAGGCCAGGCAGGAGGGAGGGGGGAGGCGGAGGGGGAGCGGCCCGAGCGGGGCATTGCGGCAAGGCTACGCTCCACAGCAACATTGCCCAGTGCATGCTGAGCCTGGAGCTGTTTCGAAGGCCCGCCGCGACATGCTCTCGTCTCTCGAGGCCGCCCTCTCCTGATCCTCTCCTGACCTTTTCGTGGCCCTTGGCCATGCCCCAACCAGCTGCCATAGATTTGCCACAGTTGAGCAAGAGGATCAGTTGCGTGGCCTTTAGAGTGGGTGTCGGAGGTCTGGGCGAGGGGAGGAGGAGCAGGAGGAGCAGGACGAGGAGGAGGAGGAGGAGGAGGAGGGTGCAAAGCCTTCACGCCCAGCAGTAGCCGTGCAACAGCACCAGACTACACAAAACTGCGCTAGCCTGTGGGCCGCCCTTCGGCCAGCGTGCACGGGCAGGCCGCGCGCTCCTCAGGCGCGAGAGCCCTCACTCAGCTGCTGCGCCCTGCCGCCGCGACGGGCGGAGCATCCCGCGAGCTCCACGCGACCCATTCGGCCTCCAAATTCATCGAGGACGAAATAAACCCTAACCCCAATACTACAAAGAAGACGTGGCCTCACTGAGGTCCCCTGCAGAAAAAAAGTCCAATCCCTAATGTTTCTGGCCCTCCTAGTTTAGGTCCCCTCCCAAAGGGTTAGGAGTCTTTTTTGGGGTCACTCATCCATGAGGAGGGCGGGCGGGCCTATGGGCGGGTCGTTCGCGCGGGCCTTGGGTCGGGGCTCAAGGAGCGAGGGTCAGTGCGAACGGGGGTCAGCCAGAGCGGCGCATCTTGTGGGATCCTGCAGTGCCATGGGCGCACTGACTCGGGCCAGGGCGCAGGATCCTGCAGGAGCCTGCAGGAGCTTGCAAGGCCTGACTGACCTGGGTTTGGAATGCCCCGGGTCGGCAGCTCCCCGACGCGCGACCCGTTCCGCCTCCGTCGGGGGGGCGGGCCGTCCCATGGGCGGGCCGGTCGCGCGGGCCTTAGGGTGCGCCCCCGTTTCGGGCTGGCGAGCTGCCACGGCTGCGCCGCGGGCGGCCGCGGCTTTATTTGCTCGCAGCCTGTCCCGGCGACGCTCGACGTGGCGCCCGCACCTGCGGCACCGGAGCGCCCCGCCGTTCGCCACGGGCTGCTGCCCCTGACCCTCCAGAGCGCTAACAAAATTGCACTCCAGACCTACAGGTCTATCTGGACTGCCTCAGACCTCGACAGGAATTAGGATTAGGTCGGGCGTGTCCCCCTCCAGGGGGGTTTTCGACAAAAAATAAAAAAAACAAAAATAGTCCAAGAATAGTCCAAAAATAGTTCGGGGACTATTTTTGTAGTATCTTTTGACCTCTTTGGGGGCATTTTGGGGGTATATCTTTTTTCATTTTTCACCGAAAATCCCCCGGTAGGGGGACACGCCCGACTTAAAATTAGGACATCGACATCCTGGTGCTATTCCCCGGGACTGGTTTCTCATCCTGAGGCGTTCTTGACGGTCCCGGGACCCGGCGAGGGCCCCTCGAGGCCGAAAAATATCAAAAACCTCGGCCTTGGTTTTTGTCAATACGCTGGCTCTCTGGGAACCTCGACAGGAAGCAGGGCATCGACCTCCTGGTGGTGCTGTTCTCTTCGCCCTCCTGGAGGGCCCGCGGCCTCGGCGGGCGGCCCCGCGCGCCGGCCCGCGGCAGAGGCCGCCGCGCCGCCACCGCGGCGCCCTCGCGGCTCTCGCCCCGGGTTCTATAGGTCGGGCCCGTGTCCCCCTGCAGTGCTTGCACGAACGAGATGGGCACGGAGAGAACGGGCACGATGCCCAACTCTCAGAGCGTGAATTACCTGCCCCGCTTTCGCTTCCAGGCAAAACCAAGCCATACCACGCGCCTCCTCGTCAAGCGGCCTGACCAGTACAGGCTGCCATTTGGCATCGTTTGGTATCTCTTGGAAGCGAGGGTGGTCAAAAGCGAGGTCGGTTTGTTTTCCCCCTACCAACAGCAGTTCCTGTTCATCTTGAACAGGACTCGCTGTCCACGCCGCCGCGGCCTGTGTCCATTCGAGACGGAAGGCCGCCTGCCCAACAGCGGCCGCTGTTGGTTTGGGACAATATGTGTTGTTGGGCATTGTACCCATTCTTTCCGTACCCATTTCGGGCGACCCAATGCAGGGGGGATTGTCGACGAAAAATCAAAAGTACCTTCAACATGCTCCAAAAAGGTCAAGAAATATTCAAGGCGTCGCAAGTCCCCCTGCAGGAGGATTTTCGACGCCCTGGGTGAAGTCAGGCCTGTCCCGAAGTGGAGCGAGAACGCCCGCTGTGCAAAAATCGCAGCGCCCGGATCTCAGGGTCTTCTCAACTCGAGCCTGGGCCTCCTATCGATGGGGTTCGGAGCAGCTGGGGTCGGGGGACATCGCGCCGCATCGCCGATGCATCGCCGGTGCGGCTCGATGTGGAGCCCGATCTTCTCCTTAAGTCGGGCCTGTCCCCCTACGGGGATTTTCGAAGAAAAATTAAAAACAAATACATCAAAAGTAGTCCAAAAATAGTCCAACAGTAGTCTGGGGACTATGTTTTGAGTATTTTTTACGTTTTTGGAGCATTTTTTGGGTTCGTTTTATGTTTCGTCGACAGTCCCCACTTCAGCCCCGGGGCGCCTGCGCTGCCCCAGGGACCACCTGCCGCACCGGCTGGCCCTCGCAGCCCTACGCCGCGTCGGCGCGCTGGGCAGCTCCAGCAGTGGCGAAGCGTCCTGGCTCGCCCATATCGGAGGTTGACAGACCTCCTGCCCTGACACGTCGACTCGTGAATTCGCCGATTTCGGTTCGCGAGAGGCGTCGCGGCCGTTGGTTTTGCGGGTCCAGGTCAGCCGGTTTCGGTCCCAGGCCGTGTTCACTAAAGGGAGGTTTACTTAAGGGAGGTTTGTCCACCGCCGACTATGGCCCTACCAAACAATGTTCTAAGAACCTTTTTGTGGTTCCCACGAGATGTGCTCAGAACATTTCTGGCGGCGGCTGTCTTGGTTCAACACATCGAGTTCATGTTCTAAGGACCTTGTGTTTGTTCTTGGAACCTGTTTGGGTTCTACGAAATTTCGTGGTAGCACTATAGGAATGCCGGGACGGTCGGCCCCTGCTCAAGAAGTGCGCGCCTCGGCTGCGTCGGGGACCGGCTGCAGCCGCGGGGGTCGATGAAGGTCAGCCACGCGCAGAGGGGGGTGGGGGGAGGGGGGAGGGCTTCTTAGAAGCACCCCTGCTTCTTAGACGGCGCGGGCCTGATCTGCAGATGCAAGGCCGGCGCCTTCTAAAGAAGCGGCCTCCCTCTAAGAAGCCCCCCCCCCCCTCCACCCCCTTGTGCGCGCCGCCAAGAAGGGTGGGTCCAACCACCCTGTCAGACGTCATGACCAGGCACCGTCCGCCCCGTACACCCAGCAGAAGTCAAGTCCTGAGAAAAAGCATCGATTCTTGTGGACTCCAGATTTCGCTTAAGAAGGCCATGAATCTGGACTGGACCCAGGGCGCTGTCTTGGAGCTATCTTTCCCGGAGAACTTCCGTATATCTGGACCTGGGCTACGGTGGAAGAGTCTAAGAACACGCCTGCAGCGAAGTCCGCTTTCTTAGAGTAAAGATCCCTGTGGTTCGACGTTGCAAAAGAATTGCAACATCGCAAACAAAAACACGCCCGGGCGGCGGAGGAGCAGGAGGAAGAAGATAAGGACGAGCAGGGGGGAGGATACTAGGGAGCAGGGAGAGGGGAGAAGGATGGGAATCGCTGGATATCGCTGAGATTGCCGCCGAGCGGCCAAGGAGGAGGAGAAGGAGGAGGAGGAGGAGGAGAAGGAGGAGGCGGAGGGGGAGGACTCCCCGACCCATCTTTCCGTTTCATTCTGCCAGCCTGGTCGACCTGTGAAGGTTCCGGGTCCCGCAGTCGAGCGAAAGCGCCCGCTGTGCAAACGTCGCACCGCCAGGATCTCAGGGCTTTCTCAACATCTTTCTGCCTCCTTTTGCCAGCCGGATCGATCTGTGAGGGTTCTGGGCCTGGAGATGGAACGACAAAAAAACGCCCGTTGTGAAAAAAATCGCAACGCCCGGATCTCAGGGTCTTGTCAACTCGAGCCTGGGCCTCCCGGATGGGCTTCGGAGTATAGATGGGGTCGGAGGACCGCGCCGCACCGCCGATGCATCACCGTTGCGGCTCGGTGCGCAGCCCGATCTTCTCCTCGCCGGCGTCGCCGATGCGTCGCCGACGTCGACGTTGCATCGCCGAAGCATCGGCGACGCGGCTCGATATCGAGCCCGATCTTCTCCGCGCCGGCGTCGCTGGTGCGTCGTTGGTGCAGAAAGAATCACGCAAACGACCATCAGGAGCGAAAGAAACACGCAAACGTACATGAATCCGCGTTGGTTTCGGTAGTGCGCCTTGCGCAAACATCCGCAACGCAAGGCTGGCCCCGCGGATTGGGGGGTCGTATTCATGTGAGTAGCTGGGCGCGTACGTCCTATGTCTGGGCATCGTTCAGACGTGTGCGACTTTTCTCGGCGAGGAGCATTTTGGATCATTCTGCGAAGCAGCAGACGCACAAAGTCGAAACATGCACGGGGGATGGACTTCCGAGCGATGGTGAGTTGTGGGCTCCCTGATCTGATCAGCAGTCAACCCGCATAGTAAGGACGAGCATCTTTCCAAGGTCACCCTTGCATCCTTCCCCTTCCGTCCATCCTTGGCCGCTTTCGCTGGCCGCGCCCCACTCGCAAAGTGTTGGCATGGCATTCCAAGGACCCTGTATCCTTACAGCCGGACCGAGGTATAAGATCGAGGTCGGTTCGGGGAGGGTACCCTAGTGCTCTTCGTGATTGTTGGATGTTCTTGTGCACCCTGGGGAGGGTATTATTGGAGGTTCCCCAATCAGAGCTTGCCTCTGTAGGGGTCCTGGCGGATTAAAGGGTTAGGTGAGGTGCGTCGACGATTTCGGTGGCCGGGCCCGGGTGCCCGGGTGCACGGCGGTGCCCGGGTGCCCGGGTGGCTTGTGAGGTGCGTGGCCGATTTCGGTGGCCGGGCCGGGGTGCCCGGGTGCCCGGGTGCCCGGGGGTGCCCGGGGGTGCCCGGGTGCCCGGGGGTGCCCAATTGCCCAGTAGCCCTATAGCCCTATAGCCGTATAGCCCTATAGCCTTGTAGCCCTATAGCCTTATCTCCCTATAGCCATAATAGCCTTATATTCCTATAGCCCTATAGTCCCATAGCCCATATAGCTCTATAGCCCCATAGCCCTATAGCCCTATGGCCCTATAGGTCACAGTCCTATAGCCCTGTAGCCCGATAGCACTATAGCCCTATAGCCCGATAGCCCTATAGCCCGACAGCCCTATAGCCCTATCGCCCTATAGCCCGCCCTATAGCCCGACTACAAAGGGAGCAATTGGAAGATTAAAACATCGGATTGGGCTTTTTTTCTGATATCAGTATACTTGTTTGGGCCGACGGAGGGTATCATGTTCTTGTGGGATGTTTTCCTGGCCCGCATCCGATTGTAAACGGGGTAGAAAGGAGGAGGAGGAGGAGGAGGAGGTGGAGGAGGAGGAGGAGGAGGGGGAGGAGGAGGAGGAGGAGGAGCAGCAGGGGGAGGAGGAGGAGGAGGAGGAGGAGGAGCAGGGGGAGGAGGAGGAGGAGGAGGAGGAGGAGGAGGAGGAGGAGGAGGCGGAGGAGGAGGAGGAGGAGGGAGGAGGAGCAGCAGGAGGAGGAGGAGGAGGAGGACGGAGGAATCACGAGTAGAACGGAGGAGAGGACCAAAATGGCGGATGGCGAAAAAGGGGGGTTCGGGAGGAGCTCCTCGACGTCCGGAGGCCCTCGGCAGGCCTTGCCTCTCGGAGACCTCCGCCGCCGCCCGCGCAGACCTCCGGGGAGGCCCTCGGAGGCTCTGCCGAGGCCTCCGTCGACGCCCCGAGGGTCTCCGAGGGCCTGCGGCGGGCCGCCGCCCCCGCGGCGCCGAGGGCGGCCGACGCCGCCACCGAGTGCCTGAAGCTGGACGAGGCGCGGGGGCCCAGCCTCCTCCTCCTCCTCCTCCTCCTCCTCCTCCTCCTCCTCCCCGAGTTGCTGTTGTGTGAGATTCCCGTGTACGTGCGCCGTGGTCCGCGTCCAGAAGATGACAGACAGTCTCCCAATGCCGATGCTGAGGACGGGCGATGCAGGTCGTTCCTGCCTCCCCGTCCCGCCGAGGTGAGCGCGAGTGTATATCCGATGATAGTGACCTCTTCATGCATCGCAACGCTTTTCATCGCGACTCGTGCTGTCGTCGCGGCCGTTTCGCTTCAAGGACCGCTTGTTTGCACTACGTTGCTACAGCGGCAGGCCTACCAACCCGTGAGAATGCTACCTCATCATCACTACCGCCGCTCTGTGTAGGAGCCCTTGCTCTCCGTTGTCGATCTTCCATAGCACAAGCCGCGGCCAATACGACGCAGGGGCAGAGGGAGAGATTCCCAAGGAACGCCCCCCCCGAGAGAGAGAGAGAGAGAGAGAGAGACAGACAGACAGACAGACAGACAGACAGACAGACAGACAGACAGACAGACAGACAGAGACAGGAGACAGAGACAGGCAGAGACAAACAGAGCGACAGAGGGACAGGCCGGGACAGAGACAGCGAGAGCGGGAGGGAGTAGCGGAAAGAGGAGAGGGAAGAGCATCGGGCATGCTGTGGCGCTGGCGTGCGGATGACGCCGCGGAGGGGGCGGTCCAGGGGTACGGTAGGTTCGTGTCGTGTCGAGCGGCGGCGACCCCGCCAGCGGCGTTCAACGTGGTGGTCTTCGATAGCCGACATGGGAGCGGCGCAGAAAAGCGGGTTCGCCTGCGCGGACATTCCCGCGCAAGTTGCCCGCGCCAGGTCGCGCGCAAGCGCGCTCCGTTCCAAATGTAGCGTGCCGCGCTGGCGGCCCGCGTGAGCCACCGCGCAAGGTCGCTGTGCCATGGCATCGCGCGCAAGACCCGTTTCTCTTCGTCGCCCACTTGGGCGCCGCAGCTCATCACCCACCAAGCCACCCCAACCCAACCCGAAGGTCTCGATTTGCCCTCCGTTTCTAGTGGGGGGGGTCGGGGAACATCGAGAAAACACATATGGAACCCGTACCCCCCCCCAACCCGAAATTCGGGTCTTCGGGTTGGGTTGGGGTGGTCTGGCAGGTAGTCAACAACACTGTCGCTGTCGCACTCTCGGCCCCCGCAGGCCCTTCGAGGAGCGCCCAGCTCGAAGGGCCACGCACAGAGGCGGTGGCGCCCGTGCGGGAGGCACGCCGAAGGGGAGAGGCCGGCCCGCCAGCAGGTGCCCCCATCCGTGCTCCGCATACCCCCCGCTGTTCCTCCTCCTCCCCCTCCCCCTCCCCCTCCCCCTCCCCCTCCTCCTCCTCCTCCTCCTCCTCCTCCCCCTCCTCCTCCCTCCTCCTCCTCCTCCTCCCCTCCTCCTCTTCCTCCTCCTCCTCCTCCTCCTCCTCCTCCTGTGGCGCAGGGCCCGCGAGGGTCGAGGGCGGAGTGTGCCCCGAGATGTCTTGCTTCTCAAGGTGTCTTCTTCGGTGGGCTGCGGCAAATATAAAACGACGCGAATATCGGGACAAAATCGGATCGGGATAACTCGAAATCTCTGAGAATCGGCGGGTTTGGAGGGTGTATTGGGCGCCGCGGCCGCTCCAGAGCGTTCCGGAACGCTCTGAGAGCGCTCCGGAACGCTCTGGAGCGATTCATCCCGATGCTGGCCCTGTTTTAGTCGAGGGCGAATTGTGCCCCGAGATGTCTTGCTTCAAGATGTCTTCTTCGGTGGGCTGCGGCAAATACCGCCGCCGTGCCAGCCCAGCACTCCTGGTTGGCGGCTGTTCAGGGGGATGCGGGAGGCCGTAGCGTGTGACGCCTCGTGCCCCCCAGGCTTCGGAAAGCCGTGACGAGGATGATGATTACTCATTTGGGCCGCCTTGGGGCTGTCTTGGCATTATGCGAGGCAGTCTTGAGGATCCCTTGGGGCCGTCTTGGGGCCTCTTTGGGCCGTTTTGGGGCTGTCTTGGTCTCATGCGAGGCAGTCTTGGGGATCCCTTGGGGCTGTCTTGGTCTTATGCGAGGCAGTCTTGGGGCCTCGTTGAGCCGTCCGTCTTTGGACTCTCTTGGGCCATCGTGGGGCCCTCTTGGCCGTGTGGGGAGTGTCTGGGGCCCGTGGTGGGGCCGTCGTGGGGCTGTCTTGGCGCCATCTTGGGCCGTCGAAGGCAGTCTGAGGCCGTCTCGGGTTCCTCCAGAGGCCCTCTTGGGCCGTCTTGGATGCCTCGTGGGCCATCGTGGGCTTTTCTTGAGCAATCGTGGGGCCCTCTTGGGGGCCTTTTGGGCCGTCTTGGGGCCATCTTGAAGGCTCATTGTGCCACGTAAGCTGACAGAAGCCCGACAAGGTGAGAATGCGAAAGGCCTTCCAAAGTTATGGGAAATCAATGATTTGGGCTTCTTCGGACCCTGTTGGGGGTTCTCTCTTGTGGCCCTTTCAGGTTCTCTTCGAGGCATCTTGTGCCGTCTTGAGGCCATCTTGGGGCGCCTTGGGGCCATATTGGGCCGTCTTCGAGGCAGATTGGGCCACCTTGGTTGCCTAGGCTGCCTGTCTGGGCCGTCGAGGAAGCTCGGGACGTGCACACTTCGCTTTCTGTTGCAAGGGATCGTGGCTTCAGCCTGCGGTTAGATGTGGGGGTCCCGCATGAGAACACACCAGCACCACCAGGCAGCACTTGGCGTTCTACCACGCCTCAACCTGCCAGTGGGGCACGGTGGCGGATCGTACGGTGGGGGCGTAGGTTATCGAGCGTGCCCAGGAGGCATCAGATCTTGGGTGGTTCCTTACCCGACGAGGGTGGTGGCGACATCCATAGCCATGCAACGATGGGAGTTCCACCGGCTTCCAGACCCTGGAGTCCATATCCTACGGTGTCTTATGCAGTGCCCTCGTTCCCTCACAGCCTCACAGTACAGTGCCGTTTTTTTTATACATGCTCCGCGTGCGGATCATGTATTAAAAGTGCAGAGCGTTAGTATTAAAATCAACGATGAGTTCATGTATAAATTTACTCATACATTAATCATGTGTTAGAAACCATATATGTTTAAAATCTGATGTATTAAAATTGGAGCCACGACGGCCTGGTGTACCCATCGCCGCCACCACTGCGTCGTCGGTCGCCGACGGCCTCGCCGTGGGCCCGAGGCTGGCACCAGTGCCTCCCCGGTGGCTCGCAGGGCCAGCGCGGGTCCTGGGGAACTAACGCCCATTCTCGGCGGCGAGCGGAGGGGGGCAAGTGAGCAGGAGAGGGCCTTCTCAGAAGGCGGCGGGACTCCTCACAGGCCCCCTCGCGCGCCCTCTGAGAAGTTTTTTTTTCTGTCTTCGGGGAAGGCTTAGAGCACTTCTCAGAAGGCCAGGGGACTTCCGAGCCTTCTGAGAAGGCCCGCCCCTTCTCACTTCCCCCCCAAGCGCGCCGCCTAAATTCGGGAGGGGAGAAAAACACAGGCACGATGAATCGTCGATTTCCAGGGTCCGATGGGAAAATACGAGGAGGCGAAAGCGCAGAACACCTGGAAACATATAGTGCATCCCGGGAGGTGTGCCTATGTATGCATGTCTGTGTGTCGTTGGGTCCCTTTTCAGTTACACTGCCATGCCACCATCGCCGCCTCTGCATGCACAGTTCGTGCAGCCATCGTCGCGGCCCGCAGCTGCCACGGCTCTTCCAGGCCTTTGGTTGCTGCAGTATCACTTCCACTCTTCACTTCAACTGCATTTCTGTGCAGGCGCTCGCAACGGCCAGAATGTTGCCACCACCACCTGGCAGTATCGCAGCATGCGTGGCGACAGTGGTCATTTAGCGAGCATTATGTTTGAAGTATCCTTGCTGTTGGAAGCCATCCCCTCGATCGCCGTTCTTGGCATTGGTTCACGTCGTTTGGATCATTGCTTGTCATCGTCGCCACTTGTCGCTTCTGTGTGCACGTGCTTGGGTCGATGCTGTCGTCCCTCTCAGAACGTTCCATTCGTTGTGTGTTCCCGTGTTTTGGTGTGTGTGTGTGCGGGTGGAGGTGACAGGAGCGTGTTTGGAAAGCCAGGTTGACGCGCGTGGATTTGCTTCGACGCGTTGGCCAGGATGATGTGCAGAGTGGGGTTTGGGGCAGCCTTGTGTCCCGTACTTCTTCTTCTTCTCTCTCGCCGATCCTCATTCCTCCTGCCCTGTTCCCTCCTCTCCTCCCCTCGTCCTTGCCCTCCACTGCGGCGAGTTCGGCGTGGATTCGGCCACGCGTCTCATGCTGGCGCTGACAGGTGGGAGGTCCAGGGGGAACGGCGGCGGTGACCGCCCCGGATGCGAAGTGGAGGATCAGTTGTGGCTCCTGCTTGGCAGGGAAGGAGGGGCAGGAGGGAGGAGGAGGAGGAGGAGGAGGAGGAGTACCAGAGGAAGCCCAGGATGAATCCACGCTGCTGCAGTACACCCCGTCCCAGTTGGAGGGCCAGAGGAGACCCAGGATGAGTCCACGGTGCTGCCATGCACCCCGTCCCAGGGCCGCTCCTCATGAGTCCCCGCAGGTGTTTCTTCCCACTGCGGAAAGCGACCCCCCCTTCCTTTGAATGAAAGAGCGCAAGGTGGGCCTGCCTGTACGGCGATGTCCCGTCTGGAAAGCATGTGCCTCCAGTCGTCCAGCTGGCAGAAACGCAAGGAGGCACGACGGTAAAAGTCAAGGACTTGTCCAGCAATACTTCCGTTTTGAAAAATATGTGTGTTTTCCACCGTTGACAGAGCCCAGCGTCCTGGTCATGATGTTTGCGGAAGTCTCAAAAGAGAGTCCCATAGTGAACAGGAGTTGCCACCCATGGGTTTCACAATTTGGATTTGAGGATCATGCAGGCCGAGGAGTTGGTGAGCGAGAGCCCACGACTGAAACCATTTGAACACGAAACGGCCTCCGTGCTTCTAACTGTTCGAGGCCTGGAGAAGCGATTGCGGGCGGCGCTAAGACGAGACCCGCACGCCGTTGCTGTAGTTGTGCCTTCTAAGGTCAAGACGCTGACTGAAGGATCACTGTAAGCATATTGTCAGACCAGGGCATGAAAGATCGAGGTCGGTTCGGGGAGGGTGCCCAGATGTCTCTTCGCGCTTGTTGGGTGCTCCTGTGCATCCCGGAAGGCCGGCGGAGGGGCTCATGTTCCTGAAGGATGTTTTTTTGGCCGAGGTCCGACTGTATCGACTAGACGTAAGAGTGCCAGAGTGACCTTTGCTGCGGGCACAGATGGGTCACCAGATGGCTGAACACGAAGCAGTAGCAGCTGCTTGCGCGCCCAGGTTTGGTCCCCCCGCGGCCCCCAGAAAAGTCGCGCACCAAAGGTCACTCTTACCCAGGGCCACTCTTGCGTGTAGGCGACTAACGCCAATTCTCGGCGGCGAGCGGAGGGGGGCAAGTGAGCAGGAGAGGGCCTTCTCAGAAGGCGGCGGGACTCCTCAGAGGCCCTCGCGCGCCTTCTGAGAAGTGTTTGTCTGTCTTCGGGGAAGGCTTAGAACACTTCTCAGAAGGCCAGGGGACTTCCGAGCCTTCTGAGAAGGCCCGCCCCTTCTCACTTCCCCCCCAGGCGCGCCGCCTAAATTCGGGAGGGGAGAAAAACACAGACACGATGAACCGCCGGTTCCCAGGATCCTGTGGGAAATTTGAGAAGGCGAAAGCGCAGAACACCTGGCCACTCTTGCGTAGAGGCGACCGTATACCAGAACGTCGCAGAGCCCATTCGTGGTCGAGGCTCGCAGAGGCCGGAAGAGCCTTTACGCTCCTCGCTCGGCGCTCCGAGTGGCAGAGCGCCGACTGAACGCCGGTCCGTCCAGGTCATCCCAGTATGTGGCCACAAGCGAAGCCTACCCCTACCCCCCGCGACTTCTGAGGGGGAGGGTGGGGGGGTTCCCTTCATTCGTGAGGCCACGAGCGAAGCGAACCCCACCCGCCCCCTCAAAAATCGTGGGGGGTAGGGGCAGGGTTCGCTGGTGGCCCCCTACCCACGCATGGGGTGCGAGGACCATCGCGCTGCGCACGCCGCGGCCCGGGCCGGAGAGCGAACCGTGAACTTCCTCCAGTGGGGGGGCCGCGCGAGGGCGCGAAGAGAAGCGCGCGTGTCGCGGCGCGCGCGGCGAGGAGCGGAGCTGCCTTCAGAAGTGGTGGTCCGCCTGCCTTGACCGGCTTTTGGCCTGACGGGGCCTGTCCACCCATCCCTTCGTTCCTCTTCTCTCTCTCTCTCTTTTTCCTTGTTTGTTGTCATATTCATGCCCCTCTTTCTCTGTCTCTCTTTCTCGCTCTCTCTCTCTCTCTCTCTCTCTCGCTCGCGGCGTTCAAGCCACAGAACGGATACCCGAGGCGTTTATGCATATGTTCGCTCCAGTTGCCGTGGTGCTTGCCCTGGTCAGCGCAGTCCGTGTGCGTGCAGAGGGAGAAGCCTATCTGACGGAGCTCGCGGAGGAAGTGCTCAGCTGGACGCAGGAGGTCTTGCCAATGCCATGGGACGTTCCACGGGCTTACCGAAATCCGAAGAGGAGGGTTTGTCTCGCAGCCGTTTGTTCTGTCGACACTCGGCCTCCCCGAAATTCGACCCGGGCTGGAAGATTGCGTCGGATGGCCCGGAGGAGGAGGAGGAGGAGGAGGAGGAGGAGGAGGAGGAGGAGGGGGAGGGAGAGGGGGAGGAGGGGGGGAGAGGAGGGAGGAGGAGGAGGAGGAGGAGGAGGAGGAGGAGGAGGAGGAGGAGGAGGAGGAGGGGAGGAGGAGGAGGGAAGTGGGGGAGGGGGAGGGGGAGGAGGGCGACTATTCGGGACATGTTTGAGGCCTGATGCGCACTCGGGCGCGTTGCCGGGTCCCCAGAACTCTGACGCCGTGCTCGTGTTCAAGACGTCGGCCTGAGGAGTTCCTCCTCCTCCTCCTCCTCCTTCTCCTCCGCCTCCTCCTCCTCCTCCTCCCTTTCCTCCTCCTCCTCCTCCTTCTCCTCCTCCTCCGCCTCCTCTCCTCCTCCTCCTCCGCCTCCTCCGCCTCCTCCTCCTCCTCCTCCTCCTCCCTTTTCCTCTCCTCCTCCTCCTCCTCCTCCTCCTCCTCCTCCTCCTCCTCCTCATCATCATCATCATCATCATCATCATCATCATCATCATCATCCGGACCAGGTTGTTGCGTCGCGGAGCGTTTGTTCTGATGACCTCGGGGTTATCAAACGGGCTTCGGATACCGAATTGGTGAACCTCTAAGCATCCCGGATGGGGTCGGGGCAGATGGGGTCGGAGGATCGCGCCGCATCGTTGATGCATCGGCGATGCACCAGCGATGCGGCTCGATGTGGGGCCCAATTTTCTCCACACCGACGTCGCCGATGCATCGCCAACGTCGCCAGTGTATGGCCGATGCATCGCCGATGCGTCGCCGATGTATCGGCGATGCGGGGAGTTCTTTCGACCCCATCTACTCGGAGCCCATCTAAGTAGGAGGCCTCTAGAACCAGTATGTTGCGTCGTGTAGTGTTTGCTTGATGACCTCGGGGCAGCCAAGCGGACTTGGGATACCGAACTCGCGAGCCACAAAACAGCCACCGTGATCTTGTTCGCGACGCCTGGAGGTCTGGCTTGAGCGGTCTCCGTCCCGAGGGTAGGCCCAGCGGCGGGGGCACGATGTGGCGCCGCGACGGGGCGCGCCCCCCGCGCCCGGCGGCCGCGACAGCGGTCGTCCACGCTGCAGCCGACTCCTGCTCGGCGGGGTCGGCGCATCCCTTGATGGGCATGTTTTCCACCACTACCATAAGTTGGAGGGGGAGGGGGTTCTCCTCCTCCTCCTCCTCCTCCTCCTCCTCCTCCTCCTCCTCCTCCTCGTCCTCCTCTTCCTTCCCCCCATTCAACTTATGGTGGTGGTGGTGGTGGAAAACAGGCCCATCAAGCGTGGGGGGGAAGTGAGAAAGCTGTCCAGAAGCTCCGTCCGATGCTCCTCCCCAGAGCCTCCACAGAGATCCCTCGAAGGGGCGTCGGAGAAGGCCCTTTTCTGGCGCTCCGCTGTCCGGGTGGCGCCCCGATGGCCCCCTTGTGGAAGTGGCTTTTCGCCAGAGTGACTTTTTGGTGCGGGCACGCGGGCGTCACCAGATGGCTCAATGCGCTGCGACAGCAGCTGCTTCCCTGCTCGGGCTTGGCCCTCCCGCGCTCCCCAAAAAGGTGGCGCACTGAAGGTCCACTCGTGCCCGGGGCCACTCTTGCGTGCGGCCGCCTCCTGCTCGGCGGGGCGAGGTCGGCGCATCCCTGGTGTGCGCGCGAGGGTGTTGGCGGCGAGCGAGGGGGGGGGGAGTGAGAATCTAGGGCTCCCAGATGGGGTCGGAGCAGATGGGGTCGGAAGATCGCTCTTCATCGCCGATGCATTGCCTATACGGGTCCGTGTGGAGCGGTATTTTCTCCAGGCCGGCGTCACCGATGCACCGCCGACGTCGCCGATTCGTCGCCGATGCATCGCCGATGCGGCGCGATCCTGCGGCCCCATGTACTCGGACCCCATCCAGGAGGCCCCTAGAGAGAGAAGGCATTCACAGAAGGTTCGGAAGTCCTCCCGCCTTCTGAAAAGTTCTCTAAGCCTTTCCCCAAGACACAAGACACCTCTCAGAAGGCGCGAGGGTTTCTGAGAAGTCCCGCCGCCTTCTGAGAGGGCATTCTCCTTCTCACTTCTCCCTGAGAGTGACAAGGGGGGAAGGGACTCAGATGAGCAGGCCCTCTTCTCATTGCCCTCTGAAGAGGAGACAGCGGCATAAACGTAGACATTCGGCGGTACCCGCCGACTTCTTGGATCTGCGTTGGGCCCCCCCGTGGCGGCGACTCCAGCGCCTCTCCTGGCGCGCACTCAGGTCGCCGTGGGGCCGTCTTGGCGCCTTCTGGGTGCGGTCGTCTGGACCTCTCGGAGCCCATGTCGTGGCGTTTTGGCCGTCTCGGGGCCATCGGGGTCTTCCTGGGCCGCCTGGAGGCTGCCAGACCCTCTCGGGCTGCTGGAAACTCGAGGAGGTGAGAATGAAGGGGAACTGATACACACAAATAAATAGACACAAATAAAAAGATTCCCCATATTTTCCTATATTATTTAGGTTTTTGTCTTCCCCCCCACTTCCCATATTTTCCCATATTTGGGGGGGATCGACGATTAATTGTGTCTGTGTGTTTTTTCCCTCCTGAGAGAAGCCGGAGACCATTGAAACGCTCAAAGCAACCCGTAGTTTGGGCTTCTTCCGGCTGTCCTGGAAAGCCTCGGCCCCACTCCAGGTCATTCGGCAGTCTCGGCGGCGCATCTGGAGCGAGCTCGGAGGCTTCTTTGGGACCCCCCCCGTGCCGTCTGGGAGGCCAGCTGTGGCCGTCTTGGGCAGTCTGGGTCCTCCTCCTCCCTCCTCCTCCTCCTCCTCCTCCTCCTCCTCCTCCCCCTCCTCCTCTCCTCCTCCTCCTCCTCCTCCCTCCCCTCCTCCTCCTCCTCCTGTTCCTCCTCCTCCTCCTCCTCCTCCTCCTCCTCCTCCTCCTCCTCCTCCTCCTCCTCTTGGAGGCGTCTTGGGACACCCGTGCCATCTTGGTGGCCCGCCGGGGCCGTCCTGGGCAGCCTGGGCCCGGGCCACGCTGCCTCGAGCGCGCTCCACTGCTCGCAGAGTGCTTGCTCGCAAACGTCCGAAATGCACACATGTCTGCTTCGATGTCATTTCTTGTAGATCCCCCCTGGCGGATCCAGGCCATCTGCGAGTATCGGGGCTCAAGAGACGGGGGTCAATGCAAACGGGGGTCAGCCAGGGCACCGGATCCTGCAGGATCCAGCGAAGACCCCTTCTGGCTGACCCGGGGTAGCGAGCCGCTTGTGGCCGCGAGGCGTCCGCGCATGTTGGCTGACCCGGGTTTGCGAAGACCTGCGTTGCAGTTTTTGCTTTCCTGCACTGCCGTTTTTTGGTTTCCTGCTGACCCGGTTCTGGATCGACCCGGGTCAGAAGATCCCCGAGAGGAGTCTTAAGTCGGGCTTGTCCCCCTACAGGGGGATTTTCGACGAAAAATAAAAAATACACCAAAGATCATTTTTTTTGTTTAAAGTCTGGGGACTATTTTTTGTGTATTTGGTTGACCTTGTTGGGGTATTTAGGGGGGTATTTTTTATTGTTCGTCGACAGTCCCCTTGTAGGGGAACAGGCCCGACTTGAGAGTAGTCACAATTGCGAGCAGTGGACCGCGCTCGTCGAATGCTGGGCCGTTTCTTTGGGCTGGCCTGGCTGCGAGCCGTCCTGCGCTGTGGCGGGCGCTGCGGTGCGGCGGCGGTGGGCGGGCCGAGGGCCACGGAGGGAGTCTGGGGCCGGCCGCCTTCTTGGCAGGCCGCGCGCAGCCTTTGTGGGCCCCGGAAACGGCAGGGCCGTTCTTTCACCGTTTCCAAGAGAGTGTCCCTTAAAAATGGAAACGGCAAAAAAACGGCGACCGGAAACGGCAAACAAACGGCTCCAGGATTGGAACCGGAGCCGGAACCGGTCAAAAAACGGCGACGGAATTGGTACAAAAAACGGCGTCGGAACCGGCAACAAAAACGGCAAAACGGAACCGGTAGAAAAACGGCCCTGTCGTTTCCAGGGCCCACTAAGCGCGCAGCCATCTTGGCAAGCTGCAGTGGGCGCCAGGTCGAAGGCACGCCCACGGCGAGTCGCCACCGCCCCCTGCCTTTTCCGGAGAGAAAAAAAAGGCCTACATTCCCCAATCCGTGCTTGCACTGAAGGGGTCCCAGCGGAAGTTGAAAGATTTGGCGACAGTTTCCCGCCGATTTTGGTAGCAGGCTGGGTTCCCGGGTTCCCGGTTCCGGGTTCCCGGGTTCCCAGTGATTGGTTCCGGGCCGATTTCGGTGGGTTCTGGGTTCCCGGGCTTCTGGGGTGCCGGTCGATCTCTTCAAAGAAAACCATCCACGGATTCGTTTTTTTCTTTGGTGTAAGTTTCAACTGTTGGGGATTGCGTGCTCCCCTGGCCCCTGTGGACGCCACCTGGGGAACATTTGTGTTATCCTCTGCTGGGCCTTCTCGGGATCTCGTGGGGGCCTCTCGAGGATCTCGTGTCTCTTGGGAGGCCTCTTGAGGATCTCTCCTGGGGGCCTCCGGGGAGAATCTGCTTGGGGCCATCTTGGGGCGACTATAGGAGCGCCCTGGGGCCGTCTTCGTGCCACCCTGGGGCTTTGGAAGGGCAGAGAACGCCCTCCGGGGGAGCTGAGGGGTGGCCCATGGATCGCCCGAAGAGGAGGGTCGAACGCCACGGGACATGTCAAAACGGGCCGCGCGAGACATGAGAATGCCAGCGAATGCCCCCCTGGTGGCTCCCGGACGTTCCAGGATGGATTTCAGATGGCCCACAATGGCCCCCAAGATGCTCGCGGGGACTTCCAGAGGGAACGAGGTATGAGCTACAGCTTCTCTGATGCTGAACACTTTACGTAGATAGCTGAGAATACTGCCAGAGCTTGCTAGAACCTGGGCGCGCGCGCGAAGCGCGCGCGTGCTTCTAGTTTTGGGAATGGGTTGGCTTCTTCGCTAGGCGTTTGTTTTGTTGGCAGTGTTGGTGTATATAATTTGGTCTCGCACTGGGGCCTGACAATGATAAGGTTTGCCTTTGAATCGTGACATGTAGCGGTGCCACGCGGGCCTCGCGCAGAGATGCACACAAAGAAAACCCACCCGTTCAGATCCACATCGAAATCTACACACGTCTAACTCAGAACGGGACCTCACCCATCCAGTTGCACCAGGAACTTGTGTGGGGGACATTCAAGAGGGGGGCCACCAGGTTGTCTTCAACATGCCGACGAACAGGGACGTGGGCTCCGTCATCGATCACGACCTCCGTGAGATGTACGAGACAGAGGTGTATCCCAAAGCTCCGAATGGAGCTCTCGAAACTCAGCGTGAGCTAGACGGCTTCCCGCCCAACGTCGCGATTGGCAGGGCACTGATCAAGGACAGCAAGAGACCCGCCCACCCGCCTGCGTTCTACCGCGGCACGGGGGACGGCTGCGAAGAGGTGAGGCACCTCAACGGTATGGTGAATCCGTCGGGACACACGACGTGCTGGGGTTGGGAAAAGGTCAGGTACGGCGCCATGACGGCGTGGCTGAATTACTGGGCCTCGCGCAACAGCGACAAGATTGTCGTCTTCCATGCCGCGGGCACGACGCTGTACGCTGGCTGCGATGAGAACACAATCATGTACAAGTACAATGAGATCATCGACGCTAGCGTTGGCAGTCCGACGGTTGTCTTGGCTGCTGAAGTGAGCCCGCCCCAAGAGGAGATGTCGTGGCGGTACGACATCTCCACTGAAGCCGAGACAGCCAGGACTACGTTCTTGTCGAGTGCTTCGGGCGCCGACTTGACAACCTACGCCGACTGCAACGCAACTGTTGGGTATTGTGACTCTCCAGCCAAGTATCGGTACGCGAGCTCCGCCTTCATCATGGGCCCTGCCGGTGATGTCGCGGAGATGTTTTCCGAGATGACTTACTGGTCCAATTCGGAGAACCGCCTGGTCAACGAATATTTCCTTTCGAACACTGACAAGGTGGCTCTCGACTACTCTGGCATCCTGGTGTTGTCCCTGAACAACATGAAGTTGGACGCGAATATCCCTGTCACGGTGGTGGACAATGCGGGAGCCAAGTCTTTCCAGAATAAGGCGACCGGCACCAGCGTGTGTTTCGTGCACGGCGGCGGCAACTCGCACGATGCCCTCAAAGTTCTGGCCCAGGAGCTTACGGCATGAGAGTTTGGCCGCGGGGCGCAAATGGTTTAGATTCTGTCGTAAGATCACAAACAAATCCTGTGCATGATCTCGCTCTGGCGAAAGAGACGGCCGCCGCCGATTGCCACCGCCATCGCCTGCAAGCTGTGCGACGTCCTCCTCTCCTCGTTCCCTTCTCTCCATCCCCTCCTCATCCTCATCCTCGTCATCGCTCTCTTCCCCCTGCTCTCCCTGTTACTCCCTCTCACCCTCGTGCCGCTCATCGGTCTCCTCCTCATCCACCCCTTCTTCTCTTTGGTTGTGTGCTGCTGGGTTCGGCCAGGCTTCTTTGGAGGGGCAGCCATCGGCCAGCGTTGGCATGCGAGCAGCTCGTTCCAGAGCGTTCTCGGGCTTTCTCAGAACGCTGTAGATACGGGTCCCAATGATGTGCGCCACCACCACCTCCCTCACCCCCTCCCTCCCCCAGGAAAGAGGAGAGGAAGCGGAGTGTAGAGGAGGGAGGAGGAATCGAAGTGATGGTGCTGTATCTTCTGGTGGCCTGCAGCAGAGACCTCTGGAATGACCACGGTGTTCGATACGGCCTCCAGGCCAGCCGGCTCTTCGTGTGATCTGTCCCCGCCTTGGTTCCAAGAGCACAGGACTCGACCGCGAGGACGCCTCCGCCTCCGCGGCCGGCGCCTCGAGTTTTGTTGTTGCCCGAGCCTCCTCTGTTGGCTTCTCGTGTTTCCGTATCGCCCGTGCTCGCACTTCTGGGCTCTTGTTTCGGATAATTATTGCAAGAATTTGGCGAACGGTCAGCCGCCAGTGTCGACGGCTGGCCAGGGTGTCCCGGAGTGCCGGCCGGGGTCCTGCTCGCGGGTTCTCGCGGACATGGTGTAAGGAGTTGGCGGAAGGTCGTCTCCGATTTCGGTTGTCGGAAGGGGGAGATGCGACACCAAGATCACCAGGGGGGGCCACCTCCAGCGAGGATGTCCGCGATGCTTCCCCGAGCTGGAGGCTGGGGATGTCTCGAGCGAGAGGGGGGGACCACACCACCAGAGAGACCCCCCTTGCTCCTCGCATCTCCTCGCCCTGGTGGTGTTGGTGTCGCATTTCTTTGTTCCTAGGTTGGTGGTCTGGTTTCTGGGTTCTCCACCCCAGCTTCTTAGTTTGTTGGGTTTCTGTATAGCGGCCAGGGTCTGGGGAATCATTGCCTAGAGCAGGAGCCGGAGGCACAATAGTACGGAGTGCACAGCAAAGAGGTAGGAAAGGCGAGAGTAGAACACATGAGGCAGAGTGAAGAGAAGAGAAGGGAGTCAGGATCACAGCTCAGAGAGCAGAAAACAGAGGGCAGTGAAGAGCAGAGAGCAAACAGGCAGAGGGTTGAGAGTAGGGAGTGGGATGCAAAAACCTTTTGGCGGCCTCCTGGCGGCCCCTCCTTGATGGCTGGGGAGGCCGTCTCGGGATGAACTCTTTGGGGCGCCCTTGGGCCCCTCCATGGGCGCTCCAGGCCCTCCTCCTCTATCCCCCTCTCCCTCCTCCTCCTCGTCGTCCTCCTCCATCCTCCATCCTCCTCCTCCTCCTCCCCCTCCTCCTCCTCCTCCACCTCCTCCTCCTCCTCCTCCTCCCTCCTCCTCCTCCCTCCTCCCCCTCCTGGGGGCACGACCGGAGCGGAGCCGCGCGGCGGGCCCCGCGTGGTAGGAGCGCCCCGCAAGGAGAAGAGAGGGCGTGCCCGCGAGAGCGCCCCGAGAGGCCCACGCGAAGGCGCTCCACCGCCGGAGCCAGGCGCACGAGGCCCTGCGCGAGTGGGAGGAGGCGCTCGGCGGTCGCCGCCGCGGTCGTCTTCGGTCAGGAGGAGGGAAAAAACACACGGACACCATGGATCGTCGAACCCCAGGAAGATATGGGAAAACATGGGGGGAAGACAAGAACCCAGAAGATGTGGGAAGTGTGGGGGGGGAGTGGGGGAGAAGTGGTGGGGGGCGCCTGGCGGCACGAACGAGGCGCCTGGCGGCACGAACGGGGAGGCGCTCGGCGGTCGCCGCCGCTGTGGAGGGAAAAAGCACACAGACACCATGAATCGTCGATCCCCAGGAAAGTATGGGAAAACATTGGAAGTATGGGGGGAGAGACAAAAACCCAGAAAGTATGGGGGAAGCGGGGGGAAATGGGGGGAGGCGCCTGGCGGCACTTGCGAGGTGGGCATGGAAAGAGCGGGTATTAACTGCCTGGCAGCAGTTCCTGCGCATGTTGCACAGAGCTTGCTGCCCGCGCCGCCGCGGCCTGCGTCCACTCGAGACGGGAGGCCGCCCGTCCAACGGCGGCCGCGGTTGGTCTGGGACAATATTTGCTGTTGGGCATTGTACAGTCATCGGCCTGACCTAAGGAACGATAAATAAGGAACGAAGCCCTTTTTTTATCCCAAGGAATAACGCATAAGGAACGATAAATAACAAATGACGCATAAGGAACTGTAAATAACGCATGGAAACCTAAGGAACGACCGAGCCCCTTTTGAAAAGTAGTAAGTGTTCCTTATTCAAGCCGCTCACTGTAATCCAGATTTCGTAATAAAAGGGAGGGGGTCTGGACCCTCCAAGACAAGCCATTTCAGACCTCCCCCGTGGGAGAACCCTCCAAAACATCGTCCCCAGACCCCCCAGGCCCTCCAAGATAGCCTGGAAGAGACCCCCCCCCGAAATGAGACCCCCTTCCCTTTATTACGAAATCCGGAGTACCCATTTCTTCCGTGCCCATTTCGGGCGTCCAAAGCTTGGCGGTCGCCGCCGCTGCCGTCCTCGTCGCCGTCGTCGGGGGGGGAGGGCTGGCAACCGTCTGCTCGGCGTCGCCCGGACGTGTGCAGCTCTTTGTCGGCGAGCACCGTCGAGGAGCATCCCGGAGCACGTCCCGAAAAGCACCTGCGCGAAGCCGAAAGCTGCACGGGGAATGGACGTCCGAGCGATGGCAACGGTCCGGTGACTGCTCGTCACCACCCACCAAACCACCCCAACCCAACCCGAAGGCTCAGATTTACCCTCGATTTTCAGTGGGGGGGGGGTCGGGAAACATTGAAAAAACACACGTGGAACCCTTACCCCCCCCAACCCGAAATTCGGGTCTTCGGGTTGGGTTGGGGTGGTCTGGTAGGTAGTCAGTGACTGCTCGACATGAGCATCTTGCTCGGAGCTGGCCGAAGCTCCAGGGGCCCCCCCTGGGCCCTGCGGCGTGGAGGCGTCGCTGCTGCCCTCCCTCCTCCTCCTCCTCCTCCCCCTCCTCCTCCTCCTCCTCCTCCTCCTCCTCCTCCTCCTCCTCCTCTCCTCCTCCTCCTCTCTCCTCCTCCTCCTCCTCCTCCTCCTCCTCTCCTCCTCCTCCTCCTCCTCCTCCTCCTCCTCCCCCTCCCCCTCCTCCCCCTCCTTCCCCTCCTACCCCTCCTCGTCTAAAACCCTGAGGAGCCCCCCGCGGACTGCACGCGCAGTGCCGCCCTCGCTGGTCGCGCATGAAGTTGACAGCGTGACGCAGGGCCCCGCGCGGCCGCGCTGCGAAGTTTGGCTGGCTAGCAGCTGCAGGCGGCGAGTGTCCTCCCGAGATCGGTCGGGGCAGAGTAGTCAGGCTGCCAGGCGCTGGTGAGTGCTGCCGTGCGCTCCCTGCTGCGCTCCTCTGCTCTCGCCGCCGCCGCCGCCGCCCCGCAGCTCTCCCCTGCTGGAGGGGCCGCAGCCGTGGCCCGGTGTCCCCGCAGAGCCGTCCTGGGCTATGCTCTCTGGCCCCGTCCCGCGCTGGGCGCCTGGAGGCACCGCCGGGTGGCTGGCACAGCGGTGAGCTCCCGTCGCAGTGCTCGCGGCGCACGCCTGTGCGGAAGGCCGCCTGCGAGGCTGGTCCTCCGATCGCCCCGTGGCATTCACGGGCGCCCTCGAGGGCGCGAAGTCATTCGCGCTTCGCGGTTCGGCTCCGATTCCTCCTCATCCTCCTCTTCTCCCCTGGGAGGCGGCGCGAGAGCGCGAAGTTGTTCGCGCTTCGCGCAGCTCGCAGCGCGGAGAGCGAAGCTAGGCGCCCTTAGCATTGTGGTCCTGTCCCCCTGTCGCCGCAGGTCCCCGACGACGTTCAGAGAAGCGCTGGCCCGCGGCTGCGGGGTGTGTCTTGTCTGCGGCCTGGGCCCCTCTGGCCGCAGGCTCCCGCCCAGCGTGCGGGCAGCCGCGGCCTGGAGAATGTGCTGGCAGCCTGTTGCTGCATCCTGATCTCTGGCCTGGGGCTTCCCCCCCTCCCCGTGACGGCCCCCCCGCCCCTGCGTGCTCCCCTGCTTGAAAAGAGTTCAATCTAGAGTTGAGTATGTTCATTGGAGTCATGGTACACCCTCGAACTCAAAATGATTAAGTCAGGTTTCATTAGTGTAAGATGCGTGGTTTCTCTACTGATTTCTATGATTCCGGTCCGACTATCGGGATCATATGTTTCTCTAATCCGATCCGTGCTGTTTCTTCTCCGCTGCTGCCGCGTGCCCCCTCCCCTGCGTGACCCCCCGCTGCTGCTCCGCTGTGCTGGCGCCGCCTGCCGCCGGCGGCGCGTCCCTGGGCCTCTCTGCCAGGCTGCGGGTTGGTCGGCGGGCCTCGCATCGACCAGGGTGCGCCCATTCGCTGAATGTGGGCGCATTCATCCTCCGTCTGCCGCTCTCGAGACAAGAAGATGGGCGACCGAATACCTCGCCGCCGCCTTCTCTCTGCCGCCGTTCCTCTCTGTTGCCGTTGCACGCGCGCCGCCTGGCGCTCCGAGCTGACCCGCTTCTCGGCGGCGCGCCCGGGGGGGAGTGAGAAGGAGGAGGCTTTTTCGGATGGCGGCGGAGTTTTTCGGAAGCCTTCCAGCCTTTCCCCCTGGGATCGCCGCCGAACCAGATCTGCTTCTGAAGGCACGCGCCCCAGCTTGGCTTCGCGCTGGGGCCTGCCGATGGTCGCGAACATGGCAGATAACTGGCCGCTCCATTTTTTCGGAGCCGCGGATCTCTGGGTTTACAGTCGGACCGAGGTATAAGATCGAGGTCGGCTAGGGGAGGATACCCTCATGTTCTTCGTGCTTGTTGGATGTCCTGGTGCATCCTGGGAATGGTGCCCCTGGATGTTCTGTGTGTTTTGGCTGGCGGAGGGTCGCACGTTCTTGAAGGCTGGTCATCCTGTCCTGGGTTTCTGATGTTACAACCTACTTCAGCCTTGATCATCAAAAATAATTCCGAGCGCAAGAAAAGTACCCCAAAACTTAAGGGCGTTCACGTGTCGGGCCCTGGGAGACACTCGTCCGACACTGTTTCGACACTCTTTCAACATTTTTCCGGGTGCTCGAAATTATTTTTGGGATATGGTATTTCAGTACGATGGATCTTGGGTCCGATTGTACGTTTCCTTGGTTTGCGTTCCTCCCTTGGCTCCTCGGGTGCCTCATCGCCGGGGAGGACCGCAGCTCCTCGGGCGGACGCAGCTCGAGGGTGGTGCACGCACGCCCGCGTGGGAGTCTCGCCGTGGGCAGTCCTGCCCAGGACGCGTTGCCTTATTGTTATGATGCTCCAGCCTACTTTAGCCTTGACCACCAGGAAGAATTTCGAGAGGCCAAACAATTCCGAAACTCGAGGGTTTTTACGTGTCGGGCCCTGGGAGACACTCGCCCGACACTGTTTCGACACTCTTTTGACATTTTTCTGGGTGCTCGAAATTATTTCTGGGATGCGGTCCTTAAGTAGGATGGGAACAACATAACCCTACTGCTTGATCGAGGCAGGAGGTCGAGGTGGGTTCGCGGAGGGTACCCTCATGTGCTTCGCGTTTGCTGGACGTCCTTGTGCATCCTGGGGGAGGGCACCCTCGAGTGCTGATCGGTGTGGGCCGGCGGAGGGTCCCATTCTCCTGAAGGCTGTTCTTCTTTCGTAGGTCCGACTTGTATCCCGACGAGGAGCATCGGGGCGGACGAACCTGGAAACCTCGGTGCTGCATTATTTTCCGCACAGGGCATGTTCGCCCGGCTTTGGGCCCTGGGGCCATCGTTCAGATTTTCGACGAAAACATATAATATTCCAAAATGTTCCACAAATAGTCCAAACATAGTCTGGGGATTTTTTTGTTGTATATGTTTTGGCCTTTTGGGGTGTATTTTGGGGGCATTTTTTGTTCGTCGTCGAAACTCCCCCTGTAGGGGGACAGGCCCGACTGAAGGCCGTCGGAGATCGAGCCCGTTCGAAGGGTGCTGCAGACAGATGGGGCCCAGGGCTCCTCCAGGGCTCCTCCAGGGGTCCAGGTGATTTCCCCAGATTTCATGTCGCCTCTTCTTATTTCATCACGTCCCTGGTCCCCCCCGCTGGGCCGCGCACGTGCCGCCAGTCGTGATTTGCACCCCCCCCTCTTGGACACCCCCCTCTTGGCCGCTCCCGAGAAGGGTGTTGCAGACAGGTGGGGCCCAAGGCTCCGGCCGTGATGCCCATCCGCTGTTGCATCTGCTCTGCAGCATCGGATCTCGGCGGAGACAGGCCCTGCGCTAGTGCCTCGACCTGCACTTAGGTCGGGCCCGTCCCCCTACAGGGGGACGGTCGGTGAGAAATCAAAAAGATACCCCCAAAAATACCCCCAAAAATACCCCAAAAATACCCCCAAAAATACCCCCCCTAAAATACCCCAAAGCAGTCCCCACGGTATTTCCCTACCTCGGCTCTGCCTAGAAGGGTTCTTACTCTCTTAGCTAAAGGGGCCGGGCAATGGAAACCGCCCCGGGCGGTTCCCCCAGTCCCCGCCCCGCGGTTCCCCCAGTCCCCTGGGAGCTTTAGCCTTAGCTTTAGCTTTAGCTTAGCTTTAGCTTTAGCTTTAGTTTAGCTTTAGCTTTAGCTTTAGCTTTAGCTTAGCTTTAGCTTAGTGTTAGCTTAGCGTTAGCTTAGCTTTAGCTTAGCTTTAGCTTAGTTTCAGCTTAGTGTTAGATTAGCTTTAGCTTAGCTTTACCTTAGCTTCAGCTTAGCTTCAGCTTAGCGTTAGCTCAGCTTTAGCTTAGTGTTAGTTTAGCCTTGGCTTAGCTTTAGCTTAGCTTTAGCTTAGCTTTAGCTTAGCGTTAGCGTAGCTTCAGCTTAGTGTTAGCTTAGCTTTAGCTTAGCTTTAGCTTAGCTTTAGCCTAGCTTTAGCCTAGCTAAAGCTTAGTGTTAGCTTAGCTTTAGCTTAGTGTTAGCTTAACGTTAGCTTAGTGTTAGCTTAGCTTCAGCTTAGCTTTAGCTTAGCTTTAGCTTAGCTTTAGCTTAGTGTTAGCTTAGCGTTAGCTTAGCTTTAGCTTAGCTTTAGCTTAGCTTTAGCTTAACTTCAACTTAGTATTAGCTTAGCTTTAGCTTAGCTCCAGCTTAGCTTTAGCTTAGCTTTAGCTTAGCTTTAGCTTAGCCTTTTCTTAGCTTTAGCTTAGCGTTCGCTTAGCTTCAGCCTAACTTTAGCTTAGCTTTAGCTTAGATGTAGCTTAGCGCTAGCTTAGCTTTAGCTTCAGCTTTAGCTTAGCTTTAGCTTAGCTTTAGCTTAGCTTTAGCTTAGCTTCAGCTTAGCTTCAGCTTAGCTTTAGCTTAGCTTTAGCTTAGTGTTAGCTCAGCCTTAGCTTAGCTTTAGCTTAGCTTTAGCTTAGCTTCAGCTTAGCTTTAGCTTAGCTTTAGCTTAGCTTTAGCTTAGCTTTAGCTTAGCTTTAGCTTAGCTTTAGCTTAGCTTTAGCTTAGCTTTAGCTTAGCTAGTTTAGCTTTAATGTTACTACTAATGCTGCTTTCCTAGGGGCTCCAACTCCTAGGTAGGGTCGCACTGGGATAATTTTTGACTATTTTGTTGATTATGTTTGGGGTATCTCTTATTTTTCGTCGAAAATCCTCCTGTAGGGGGACAGGCCCGACTTACACCTATTCCCATCATTTGTCATATCTAGTCTGCGCGAGTCCAGAAGACATCCAGATGTATCTGCCGTGGGAGATCTGGTGCCTGCTGGGAGGGACATGATAATTCCAGGCTCGTTTGGGTGGCTCTCCTGGGGCCCACCTCCTTTGCGGATCTGTCCGATTCTAGTTCGGTTCCAGTTCGAGTCTGATCCGACCCGAGTCCGATTCGAGCTCGACTCGGGCCGACGGACGCTTGACGCAGCATCGACGCACGAGTGGGGCGGGCGACTGGCCCCCGGGAAGCCCCCAGAACGAGAAGCCTGATCAAGAGCAGTCCAGCCTGCAGCGACGAGCACCTCTGGGGCACGATCCCGGAGGAGGAGGAGGAGGAGGAGGGGGAGGAGGAGGAGGTGGGGAGGAGGAGGAGGGGGAGGGGGAGGAGGAGGGAGGAGGAGGAGGAGGAGGAGGAGGAGGAGGAGGAGGAGGAGGAGGAGGAGGGAGGAGGAGGAGGAGAGGAGGGAGGAGGGAGGAGGAGGAGGAGGAGGAGGAGGAGGAGGAGGAGGAGGAGGAGGAGGAGGAGGAGGAGGGAGGGAGGAGGAGGAGGAGGAGGAGGAGGGGGCCAGCCCGGCCTCCGCCACCGGCCCCAGGCGCTGCGCGACGCGCTGAGGCTTCGGGAGCTCGGCGGCGGCGGGCTGGACCCGGAGGCCCTGGGCTCCCGCTGCGACGCGCCGCGCTCGGCCGCTCCGCCGCGCCCCCGCGCGGCCTTCGGAGCAGGAGGAGGAGGAGGAGGAGGAGGACGCAGGACGCAGCATAGAACGGCGAAGCATCCGAGAACGCAACGACGACTATATAATACTGGGCGAGGGTGATAAAACATCAGCCCTCAAGGAAAACCAAGCAAATTACGGATTAGACTGGACGAGCCTGATCCCAGTTGCTGGGTGCCTGCCTTCCGAGAGCCAGTCCCTGGCTCGCCGGCGGGCAGGGTTAGGGGGCTTCGTGGGGCAGGGCTCACCGAGGGCCTCGATCTTGGCCGAGCCCAGGGCAACTCGGGCCCCGCAAAGCCCACAGAACAGGAAGGACCCTGCCCTGTGAATATGGTGCCCGTGGCACACGAGAAGACTCCCACCCGCCTCCGCCCCCAAACTGGCAGCAGCAGCGGCACAGGCAGCCTCACCCTCCCCCTCGGCATGCTGGCGCCAACCGAGCCGCTCGGCAAGAGCAGCAAGCTGGCGCAGCATCGGCCCAGGCTCACACTTAGCCCCTGGCTTGTGCAACGACTTGGCACTGGCTGGAGTCCGAGCAACCGCCAAACATTGCCTGCACTGCAACGCCGAGGATCCCGGAGCCAGGGGCACGGTATCGTGAGCGACAACTACTAGCCTCGGCCTTGCCTCCTTGGGCGGCCGTGAAGGGGCTGGGGCAGCACCAGAAACATCTGGCCGAGCACAAATAATCTGAACCGCTCGGGCCAGAAACTGGCATGACAACTTGCACTCTTTAATGGCCTCCTGGAGGGACGTGGCCGCAACGTCGGCAACGGCAACATCAAGGGCTCGAAGCTTGGCGAAAAAATCCGCCCATGCATTATCCATGAACCTCCAAATTTCTCCGGCACGCGCTCCTTGCTCGATTAACCCCTGCAAACAGAGGTGCGCAGGAGTCCAGTGGAACTCGGGGCGCATATCATAGCGAGCACAAGCACGAAATATATTGCGCCAAATTGACGCGTGCGGGGCAAGGCCATGCTCCAGGTTGGGATCCCAACCTTGCCCCTCGTGCACAAACGAAAGGTGATCACTAATTATGACGGGAGGCTTGCCTCCAGCAGGCCCCAAGGAAACAGCATCGAGCCCAGCCCACCTTTCGGACCGCGGGACCGACTGGAAGCGCCCTGGGAGCCCGCCAAACCTGGCCCTCAAGGGCCAGCCGTCCTCGGAGATCTCGACCACGCTCCAGCCACATCGAGTGGCTTCGGGAACCGCACTGTGCAGCCCCGACCCGTCAGTGAACCTATACCTACCCCAGGGACCGTCCGCGAGACCCCAGGTGAGCACCGGCGGCCGAGCTAAGGGAGGGGGCAGTTGGATGGGGAGCGAGGGGAGCCCGTAGAGGAGAGGAACGCGATCCCAATCAGGAGGACCGACGTTGAAATCGTACCCTTTCTCCCGCAAGGCCTGCCTACGCTCCCAAACATCTTCGGGAAAACCTAAGCTGCCCGCATCCTCCTCCCCAGACACGAAGGCACTTGAGCAATCGTAAAGTTGGTGGCCCAATGTGCCCTGGGGGGCCTGGCAGAAAGTGCAAGCAGCGGACGGGGCCAACCCTTCCGCATGCTTGCGGGCTGGTGGCCACAATCCTCCAGACCAGAGCGCGCGGAGCGACCCCTGCCGGGCACCCGCGGGGAGGGCCAGAATCGCAAGGCGCATCGCTCGAGCCCAACAATACTCAGAGCCCGACGCTTCTGGCCAGTGGAAGGGGACCCTGCGCCAGAGCCAACGCTCCACACCATCGCGCAACAAATTGCGGACCTCGCTCGGCGAGTATTCATACAGCGATATATGGTCTCCGAGGTCGGAGGTGAGAAGGTGGGGAGCGGCCATGTCCCACCCAATCCTGCGAAGGGAGAGGAACACCGCAGATATCGGCCCAAAGCATTGCCTCCAGGCACCCTGGGCTCCGAGCTTATCCCGGATTGTGCTCCAAGCCATCCTCAACATACTAGGGGAGGTCCTACCATCCCAGAGCCAACACGCATACCTGGCGACCAGGGGGCATGTGGCGTCAAAAGTGGGATCATACAGCCTGTCCTTCTGCGTGCACGTGTAAACTGTGAGGGAGGCCAGGCCACGCCTAGCGCCTACCAGCTCCCCTGCAAAAGAACGGAGTTTCATGAGAGTGGAATCCGTGAGGCCTACTACACCAGCCCCATGGCTACCCGACGGCAAAACCCCCGTGCGCCACAGAACCCTGACCTGCAGACCCCAGCCCTCTTAAGGGCGCGAAGCCGGCCCCGCCTCCCAAGCACCGCCCCCAACCTCTTCCTCTCAAGGGCTCTGTGGGCGGTGCCTCCAGCAAAGGTCTCGTGGCCAAGATTTCGCGCGGCCCGAAATGCCTGGAGCTTCAGCCTTGCCGCTCTCGACTTCACAGCACGAGCTGCTGCCGTCGAAGACACAAGATAACCAGACTTGGAGGCCTGCAACAGAAAACCTAGCTGGCGGGTGTAGCTGGCGAAAGCCGTGACCGCATTAAAAACGACCCCAGCGTACTTGGCCAGGCGTCCTATCCACTGAATTGACACATCATCCATGAGGCCTCGGGGAACCACACACTCGAACTCCCTCTTAAGCCTGTAGAGAGGCCGAAGGAGGAGGACCTGCATGAGGGTGGTGGCGTGCGAGCAGCCCGCCAAAATCCCCTGGAAAGACGTGTAGGAACGGCTAAGGGAATTAAATCTTTTGATGCGCCGAGGCTGCTGATAGTTACACACCAACATCCACGCTAAACGCAAAGGAAATCCAACAGCAGCAGCCTCGGTCATCACAGCACTAAGCAAGACAAGCTCATAACATTTAATCATGTCAATCAGAACTGTCAAACAATGCTGCCCAGTGTTCCGAGCGACCTCAGCCTCCAAATTGTGAGCAAAAGCACAATCGAGACTGGAACGCCCTGGACCGGAGCCCCACAGGAGCTCATTGCGATGCCTCCCCTCCCACTCCACCGAAACAGGCCTCCGAACCCTCCCCCACACCCTAATTAAAGTATGCATGAGGGCTATCAGCCTGTGTTCCCCTGGCTTGTCCGGCTTCGGCAGCCTCACCAGCTCCGTGGCCACCCTTCCTCGCGGCCAGCAGCTGAGCTTTTCGCACAACATGAAGGAGCGTCACCGTCTGCAGCACTTGGTCGCTCAGGTGCCACAGACTGCATGGGGCCAGGCGCCCAGGACCAATGGCCGTCCTGGCAGGAAAATTGCGCACAGCAGCGCGGACCTCAACATGCGAAATCGTCGGCAGAGGCTCCCACGACTCCGCCTCGGGCGGTAGTTCCATCCTCACGCAGCCGTGGGTCGCCCAGACCGTGGCCCAGTCATCCAGGCAGTCGTCAACCAACTCGTATGGCTGGCTTCCTGTCCGGGCCGCGTCTGCAGGCTGCAGGGCACGGGCCTCGCTGAACCGGTGAGCTTGCGACGCGCCTCTAACGAAGCTGGCCTCGACCCACTTCGTCCAAGTCTGGGCTCGCTCAGCCGCGAAAGCTGCAAGCCTCGACTCACCTTGATGAATGAGCCAGTCGACCATGTCATGGAAGTTGGCGTCGGCGAACACCATCAAACTCTGCTCAAAGAACTCCGCCGCGCACGGGCCCACCGCCGAGAACACCCACTTCTGCTTCAGGAGGCGCCCGAAGAAAGACTCCGTGTCGTGAAGGAGGACGCCGAGCTTGGAGGTCTCCGCCACCGACGGCCCTCCCGCAGCCCTCGCCACCATGAGCTGCGGGATGCGATTGCTGAGGCTCTCGCTGACTCGCCGCAGGTGTCGCGCCCAGCCAGCCGCCACAGCCCATGCGTCAGTCGCAGTGCCCCGATCAGGGGGGCGATGCCGCGGCGGCTGCCAGGCATACTTCTGCCAGCGCATGCGGAGCGGGCCTGCCCTGCCCGTCTGCGCCCGGCAGCCTTGGCCAACGAGGTCGTAACGGCCACGCAGCTCCTGCTCAATGCCTTGTAGCATGTCGTCCCAGCACTGGCTGAGCTCCGCGTCGCTTGCCGCGGCTCCAATCTGCTCCTGGACCGCGTGCCAGAGCGACGCCGGTGGCCTGGAGCAGCCAGGTGGCGCCATCGCTGCAAAGGCCTTCGGTTCCCACGGCACCCTGCACCAGAGCGCCCTGTCACTAGCCAGGAGAGGTAGCTGCACAGGCTTGTGAGGGAAGGTGTCCGCTGCCTCGTAGACCTCGGGCACTTGGATGCGACTCAGAAGGCGGCCGTCCACCCCAAAGTAGTCCAGCTTGGTGCCAGGCAACTTCTGACGGCATGTAGTCGCCGCCGTTGACAGCAGAACCGCCCCCACAGAGTTGAACCACGGGGCCAGCAGCTCTCGGGCCATATTGAAATCACCTCCGAGGATCCAGGCGAATCCACGGCTGGCGATGTCCAGCACGTAGTGGCCTACCGTCCTCAAGATCTCCAGGTTGGAGACGTCCAGGCCGGCACTGTCATGCAGGTGGACAGAGACCATCGCGATCCCACCTGGCACGCCCCAGTGCACGTGCCCTGCCGTGGCCCTCCCTGGGATCAGGCAGCCAGTCTGGTGCAGCGGCGGCGTCGTAACTTGGATGCCCGCCTTGGCCAGCACCGCGCAGCCCCCATGGGTGCCGCCCCCGTCAGACGGAGGAGCAGCATCCCACACCCCGTGGTAGCCCAGGTTGCGGACCCGCTGTTGCAGCGCCTCCACCTTGCCGAGGCCAGCATGGTGCTCCTGGACCAGCGCGACGTTGCTGGTGAACGGGGACCCCAGCAACGCCTCCAGCGCCCCGTAGGACGAGACGTTGGCGGAGGAGACGAGGCCCTTGACCACAGGTGCCGCTGCCTCCGCGGGAGGCCCAGGAGCCAAACCGTCAGGATCGTGCACCGCGGGGCCAGGCGCGGCCGCGCCGAGCGTCGCGGCGTCACGGTCCAGGGGCCCGCCGGGCGTCACGCCGTGCCCACGCGCATGGAGGCAACGCAGGGCTC